TTTTTTGGTTTTTTGGCTTCAGTAAAGTACTATAGACAAGGTGAGGGCTCTTTGCTGATCATTCAGGTCGCTTGTTTTTGCTGATCATTATTTTTTTTGTTTTTTGGCTTCAGTAAAGTACTATAGACAAGGTGAGGGCTCTTTGCTGATCATTCAGGTCTTTTGTTTTTGCTGATCATTCAGGTCGCTTGTTTTTGGTGATCATTCAGGTCGCTTGTTTTTGGTGATCATTCAAGTCTTTTGTTTTTGGTGATCGTTCAAGTCTTTTGTTTTTGCTGATCATTCAAGTCTTTTGTTATTGTTTCAGTAAACCATGCTCAGGTTTTATTCTGCTGTCCTTGGGTGTAGGTGGTTGGCGGGTGCTCTGATGTGGTTTGTTTCTTCTTTCCTATGAAACATCAGTCATCCTTATCTCCCTTCCTTCTTTTTTGTGTTTGTTACTCTCTTGTAACACCTCTAATCTTCGGCGGGGCTTATATAACCTATTGTGTTGCAAGTGCCGTAAAACTTCTACTAAAACAAAAAAACTGTCCAGGGGCACTTCCAGAAGGGAGATTTGTTCGTTTTGGGGCTATTTTTTTTGTGTGTGTGTGGATGGTAGGCTGGTGATCTGGTATGGTTTGCTCCACTTTTCGTGATATCAGTTGCCCTTCTCTCTCTCCCTTCCTTTCTTTGTCTGTTGCTCTTTCATAACACCTCTTATCTCTGGCACTGTGTGACCTACTTGGTGGGTGGTTGGCGGGTGATCTGGTGTGGTTTGCTCCTTCTTTCCTATGAAACATCTATTGTCTTTATCTCCCCTAATTCTTTTTTGTGTATGTTACTTTCTTGTAGCACCTCTAATCTTCTGACGCTCATATGACCTTACGCAGTTGCAAGGGCCGTAAAGCCTCTACTAAAACTAAAAACAACTAACTTTGGGCGAGGTACATAGCCTTCAGAATAACCCCTTTGTGTCCAACGTAACATTAAAACTTGTCCATAATTTGTTGTGCTTTCAGATTCTCAGAGCGAAACTAAGTCTTCCCCCGTATTTGACGAATGAAGCACGGGCGCTTTTGAAGAAGGTGAGTCGTTGATCTGTCTGTTGCCTGCACTGCCAGGGATGGATGGTTGGGGGGTTCTCTGGTGTGGTTTGCTTCTTTTTTCCTATCAAACATCTATTGTCCTTATCTCCGAACCTTCTTTTTTATGTTTGTTACTCTCTTGTAACACCTCTATTCTTCTGGCGCTCATGTGACCTTATGCAGTTGCGAGCGCCGTAAAACCTCTACTAATACTAAACTAAACTAAGTTGTGGGGGGCTCCAGTGGCAGTGTGACTGAAACCCCCTGGGGCGGGGCCACTGACTGAAGTGTCTTTAGGCCATTCCCAAAGGGGGGACATTAACCATGTTCTTATGCACAGTAAAATTGTAAATTCTTCAATGATTCTTCGTCATGCGCATAACTTCCTCAACTGCAGGCGGGTTTGTCTGTACTGACTCTAAAGTCACCTGTGTATGGATGAGTGTAAGTACTGTGAATGACCACTGATAAGATACGTCTTTATTGTCCAGGTCCTGGCACATTGGTTTGGTGTTTCACCATGTGTACACACACACACACAGACATACACACACACACACACACACACACACACACTCACACAAACATGCACACACACGCA